CCCCCCAACTACCCTCTATCATACCCTAAATACTCACGATTAAGCACCATAAGGGCTCCATTAAAGGGTACTTGGGGGTACTTGGGGGGTGCTGGTAGGCTTCAGGGTTTTAGGGTTTAGGGTTTGGGGTTTGGGATGTTGTGCTGGCAGGGTTCCAGTTCTCAAGGCAATGGGAAGCTTTCATGCAGCGGTGACTGGGCTTTGTTGAGTTATGATGCTCGGTGGGGCTTGTTGAGTTCATTGGACTGTTCGTGATATGATGTCTGTTTCTTGAACGGCTCTGTATAATCTATAAGGGCTCCACAAAGGTTACACATGTTAGATTGGCCAAGGAGCAATCGCGTAGAAGGTGACGGCACGGGTCAGAGCTGCCATCTTCACGAACAGTACGAATCTAGATCAGATACTGATTAGTGGCGCTTCGTTCGGAAATCTGCCATTGGCCTGCTCAGCTCTCTCCTTCTTGGCAGTGCTGTCCTCCGCCACTTGCCTGCAGCACAAGGAGGGCATGTCCACATAATCCTCCTCCTCCTTGCCCCAGCAGAGCCACTCATCCGAGGACTGCCACGGCTGGCCCTTGTCGTCGTTCTTCTCTTTCTCCACCACGATCTGCTCCTGGTTGGAGTTGCAACTCCCTGGCTCCGGCTGAGCACGTGGTCCTGTTTGAAGCCAAAACCCCTAGCCTAATTCACGGTTTAGGGTTTAGAGAAGTTTAGGGTTCAGGGGGTAGAGGTTTAGCGCCTCATCTTAAAGCCCAAACACACCCCGAACCCGAAACACCGACACCCTCCCAGACACCCGAGTTCCCAGGCCCCAGAGCCCCGATAAAGAATCCCCCCCAAAGCAGCCCAACAAATCTCCAACTTGATGGATCCCTAGGCCCTAAACCCTTAAAGGAACCCTAAAACCCCAAAAGCAAACCTCCAAGCTCCCAAAGCCTTGAGAACCCAAACCCTACCAGCACAAAATCCCTAACCTGACAAACCCTAAACCCTAAAGCCTAAGCCCTAAAAACCCGAAAGCAAGGAATTGTTGCAACTGGGTCCTGTCTCCCAGGATGTCAGCCTGCGCGCGGGAGTCAGGCAAAAGGTCTGATGAGGCTTCCTTTACCGTTTAAGCCGCGGCGTGCATGCATGCATGCATGTATGCAGGTGTATATAATCAGTATATATATATATCTAGAGAGAGAGACAGAGATACTAAACAAATAAATATGTGTGTGTATATATATATATATACACACATATGTATGTGTGTGCTCAATGGTTGGACTTGGGCTTTGGGGTGCATAGCTTATAATTTTACAGGAACGATGAGGGAATACTAGTTCAATCTGGCAACTGCAGCCTAGGACATTTTCAGGTGGGTAGTTCCCGTTATAGGGACCTTATAGAAGGTCTAAATACCTTATAGAAGCCTTCTAGAAGCCCTATATACCACCTGTAGTTTCCTTGAACACTGCATGCACAGATACACGATCAATTCGACATACCCAGTCCGACTGTAGCACAGAGGACCCCACACACCGTGCGCGAAGTGATTCGTGTGCTCCGGAGCCTTCGGCCGTACGATGCCAACCCCATAAACCGTGCACCAAAATTGGGATCTCGGGCTGATTCTAACTAACTTAGTCTACCTAAAGCTGCCTATTCTTCACGCTAGGGTAGTTCTCTGAAGTAGGGTCCCTTTTTAGGTCCCCAATAATAGTATGGCACCCTTCGAAAAAGGACCCTAAAAGGGACCCTAACCTAGAGAACCTCCCATTAGTTGCAGGGACTCACGATCCCCTCAGCTCACCTCGTCCATGTAGTGCGTGGACAGCACCTGCGGCTCAGCTTAAGACGCAAGGTCTGGGAATTTTCAAGGTTTCCGGGTGTTGGGTTTAGGGTTTTAGGGTTTAGGGCTTAGGTTTCAGGGTGTAGGCAATTCAATGCATTCTTCCGGGGATTGAGCTTCCGGGTGAAGGGTTCCCCTGCCCACACCAAAGAGTTTTTCGGGGTGGTTGGCTGGGTCTGGTCATGGCGGCCCTCACTATTTGTGTGTTAGGCGATAGTTGTGCTAAGGCATTAATTAATCATTCAAGCCACTGTATTGGTTTAGGGTTGAGGGCTGCGGGCGTGGGCTGTAGGCTGGTGTGTCGGGTTTGGGCGTTGGAGCGAGTTTGGTGGGCCCCAGCCAGTCAAGCATGTGGGTTAAGCACAAAGTTCGGGATTTAATGTGGGGGCCTTAATAATTAGAATGGGGCTTTGGGGGTTCCTTATTTTATAAGTATTGTATGATATAGCCCCAAAACCTATTCTAACTATTAAGGCCCCTAGATTCTCCTTAGCGCCCCCGCAGCCCTGGAAGTTGCAAGCATTCTACGATTCTTACGAAATTTTCGCCTGGGTGGGAGAGGGGTCCCAGAGAACCACAACAAATTCAACCCCAAACCCTATGACCCTAGTCTAGGGGTCGAAACAATCAGATAAGGGTTGGGAGAGCGGCGGGGTACATTGTAGTATAAGACTGTTACTATGGCTCCAGCCCTGAAAAGTGTCACAGCAATCGATTCGCTTTGTGCCCGACCTCATCAGAAAGGGGTTTAGGGTTTAGGGTTTAGGGTTTAGGGTTTAGGGTTTAGTCTCAAAGCAAATAAACCAAATAAACCCTAAACCTTAAACCTCTCGAAAAAAGAGCCACGTGGCTACAAAACCAGAGGGCCCAGAAATCCCTCACGGGACACCTGAAACTTTGGGGTGGCATCGGGTTTAGGGTTCTTGTTAGGGAAGAGGGTTGAGCTTCGGGCTTACTTCCGGAATTAGACTTACTTGTAGTGGCCTGAAGACTTAGAATAGGATTTAGGGGGCCCATTATACTATGACTATAAATTAATAAGGAACCCCAAAATTTAGGGGGCCCATTATACTATGACTATACTTAATAGGGAACCCCAAAAATAATAAAGGTAGTTCAAGTCGTGAGGCCCCTCTATTACTTGTAGGGTATGGGCTTATGGAGTCACCCTACTACCCATCCAGCCGTAGCCCTGTGTGCGGCAAAGTCGCGGTGACTCGACCGTGCCTGGCAAAGGCAGGGACAAAGCAACGACCGACATGGCCCTAAACCCTAAACCCTAAACCCTAAAACCTAAAACCTAAACCCTAAACCCTAAACCCTAAACCCTAAAACCTAAACCGCTCTCGCTTGGAGGACCCGGTGAGTTCGCCAGTAGGGTTTTAGGGCTTTACAGGGTTCTATAAGGGTGGGATTCTGTCGGTTTTCAGATAGCGCTTCGGGTTTAGTAGACTGAGTAAGGTATGTTACAAGTAACTAAGTTTGCATACCCCTAAATATTTTTCCTTCATATCCTGAGGTCCCATGATCCCTTGAGTAAGGCTTTCCGCTGCGGGCTCGGGGAACAGAATCGGAATCCTGAGTCTGACCCGCCTCTTAGGGACTCCAAACGCTCCTGGGTTTAGAATTTAGGGGTTTGGGGAACGCCCTAAACCCCAAACCCTAAACCCTAAACCTTAAACCCTAAACCCCTAAACCCTAAACCCCTAAACCCCTAAGCCTTAAGCCCTAAAGCCCTAAACCGTTTAGGGAACCGCCTTGTGGGGACTCCAAGCACTCCGGAGATGCCTCAGGGAGATGACAAAAAGCATGGCTCAATAACTCTTGCGGAGGGTCCTTACCCTAAGGGTCCAAGTACCTAATAATCATATACTCTCCCAAAATAGTAGCCTACATAACTACTATCCGAAACCTAACTAACTAATTATTGGGTCCTTTGGACCCTTAGGGTTATTGTGGGCCTTCATAACAACAAGTACCTATACTAAGGGTTTAGGGGCTTAGGGTTTATACTAATTGCAACAAGTACCTATACTACTTTGGGTTTAGGGTTTAGGGTTCATACTAGTTTGTCTAGTCTGGTAGAAGTACATCAACTTATACTAGACTACATTGCATTATGCTATATCAGGAGGGTTCCTTAATTATAAGGAGATCCATGTGGGGTTCTTTAGGGTTTTTTATACAGGGATCTACCAGGGTTCTTTAGTAATTTAGGGTTCCTCGAAGGGATCCATAAGGCTTCTTTAGGCTTCCTTCAAGGGATCCGCAAAGGCTTCTACGCCGAGCCCCGAACTTCATGGAGCGAAGAAGCTCCCAGACGCTGCGGCGGGAGAAGGGATCCTGGCGTTGCGTCTACTTGTTAGGGTTTGGGGTTTTAGGGTTTGGGGTTTAGGGCTTTTCCGCGCTCAAGAATTCCTGGGCTCGGGCTACCAGATTGCTGTTGGTTTAGTTTTTGGAGTTTGAATTTTGCTTTTGACCTAGTCTTTATAGAGCTTAGGTTGGTTTTGGGTTCAGGGATTTTGTGGTTTTTGGCCACTTAAGGTTTGACCTTGTTGCGCTTGGGTCTGTGGGGCTAGTTTGAGCACCGAAGAAATCGGCGAGCCAGAAACATGTACCGCACTTCGACCCTGAAGCCAAAACCCTAAACCCCTAAAGGCCCTAAACCCTACAACCCCAAATCCTAAAACCCTACAGGCCCTGAGCCCTAAACTCTACATGGCCCTAAACCCTAAAACCCCAAATCCTAAAACCCTACAAGCCCTAAACCCTAAACCCTAAACCCCCCAAAGCCCTACACCCTAAACAACCCGGGGCCCGAGCCAGGCCGGACGTGGGCTCATCCAGCACCACGAGTCGGGAGCCGCCAATGAAGGCAATGCCTTCGGATGAGAGCAAAGGGGCTCAAGGATTGGGATTTAGGGTTTGGAGGGTTTAGGGTTTTTGGGCTTAAGTTTGGGGTTTAGGGTTTAGGGCTTCGGGTTTAAGTTTAGGGTTTAGGATTAGGGGTTTAGGGTTGAGGGTTGGTGCCTTTAGGCTTAGGGTGTAGGGCTTAGGCTCTACGGTTTGTGGATTAGGGCTCAGGGCCTATAGGGTTTAGGGTTTAGGGTTCTTGAACCTTCGCTAAACCCTGTGGGTTGAGCTTGACCTTGTTGGTTGAAATAGCAGACGTATCAAGGTTTAGGTTTAGGGTTTAGGGTTTAGGGGCAGTATGCATGGCAAGCTGTATGAAAGTATTGGGGTTGGGATTTGCCAGGATGTAACTAGCGGCTTCCAGCAGCTGCATAAGCGGTTGGCCCTTCAAACCCCTTGACAGATTATGAAAAGATGATGCTTTAGTCAGTTCCGATAATGGAACAGGGTTTTCTCGTACAACCGACTGCCATCATCTTCATCTTCATCATCGTCTTCATCATATAAGATATGGATTTGGTGATCAGGAAGCACAGCTAGGCCTTTAACAGTATCACCGCAGACCTCCCTGCTGCCCCCCAAGCATGACATCCCTAACCCTGCTTGCAAGCCCATGCATCTCTAGCCCGGAAGGGACCTCAGCAGCCAGACTTGCAAAAGGCCTTCCGAAAGCCTCAGAACCTAACATCAAAGCTAAAACAAAGGCCAGGCACCCCCGCCTTAAAAACAATCTCAAGCGAACTGTAAACCCTAAAACCTCCCACCCCGGCGCAAAGGCATCCGGCCTAAGCTCAGCTTCCGCTTCATGCCGCCACTCAGCTTTCCCGCGTGCACCGCAGAAGCGCCAGCCTGTCGGGTCTTTTGGCTCAGGCTTAGGGTTCCGATTTTTACAGTACGTTATGTTATATTCCCAAAGGGTCCAAGTACCACTATGGTAGCTACTTAGTAGCTATTTGGGCCCCAAAAGTACATACTATACTAGTACTTGGACCCTTTGGGATTATGTTCTGTTTTATTACTCTATGATCCATTATTTTACATGTTTAGGGATGCTTCAAGCGCTAAGGGTGCTCCGCTACGTTCTCTCCCGGAACCCAGAAAGTCTAGCCAGGGGTGTCGGGGATGAGGGCGAAAAATTTGCATGTCCTAAACCCACAGCGGGCGCCGTTCTCTTTTTGGAGGAAGCGGCCTACACACTTCAATTGTGCGGTATTTAGATCCCTTAAAGCCCTTCATCCTAAAACCTACAAGCCCCAAAACTCTTTAGGAGGTACCACAGCAGCACAACGCAAAAATAGCACAGCAACACCACAACATTAAACCACACCAAACAAAAAAACAAAAAGGACAAAACAACATCCAACAAGTTATATACCAGCAAAACAAGAAAAAACAAGACAAACGAAACCCAAAAACCACTAAACCCTAAACCCTATGACCCCTAAGACCCCTAAAGCCCTAAACCCCTGGCTCTCTCGGCCTTTTGGAGTCCCACGCGCTCCAAGGTGGAGGCGACTTCGCCGTCCACCTCCTGGCAGCCGCAGGGCGGGTTTAGGGCTTAGGGTTTAGGGCCTACGGGTTTAGGGTTTAGGGTTTTCGGGTTCGGACAAAAAAAGTCGGGGCGTTTACTTGGAGTCTTGGGATGCTTAAGGATGTTTAGGGTTGAGGGTTTAAGGTTTGAGGTGTTGCAGGGTTTCTTAGGGTGTTCCTGCACCCACAAACCCTGCAGAAATGGGTTCTGGTATTGTGGTGTTTCCCTCCATGTTTCCTTAACAGGGTAGGTTTCTTTTCGGGGGGCTTCGGTTCGGTTTCGGGTTTAGGGCTTAGGGCTTAGGGTGTAGGGTTTAGGGATTTAGGTTTTAGGGTTTAACGGGTTTCGGGTTCAATTTAAGTTACCATAATAAAGACACCGTATGATGTACGATAGATCCCTATTCTGGCAGCTTAAATTAAGTCCCTTAACAAGAACCCAGCTTAGCATCTCCCTGGATCCCAAAGAACCTACCTTTTTTTTAAGGGTTCCTTATTATGATTTTCTTTTATAAGCCCTTCAAAAGGTAGGTTCTTTGGGGTCTAGGTTGGGATAGATCCTCCTTTATAATGGTGCCGTACTATATTGGGGACCTAAAAAGGGACCCTACTTCAGAGAACTACCCACATAGTTCTGACTGCGTATGTCTTATAGGGTATGTGCAACTTTGACTCAGCAACCCTGAATCCTAAACCTCCAATCCTAAACCCTAAACCCTATACCCCAAACCCCAAACCCTAAACCCCAAACCCTAAACTTAAGTCCTGCCCTGTGGGGCTGTCGGGTTGTAGCTCTGGGCCTCAGCAATAGAGCTTCGCAGCCGGAAAGCCATATCAGGCCGCTTTCGCACTTCCAGAATTTGGGGTTTATAAGGCTTAAGTGTTTAGGGTTTCAGGGTTTACGGGGTTTCGGGGTATAGGGTTTGAGGGTTTAGGGCCGTTTCAGGGTTTCAGGGTTTCGGGGTATAGGGTTTGAGGGTTTAGGGTTTAGGGTTTAAGGGTTTCGGGCGTTTCGGGTTTGAGGCTTTGGGGTTTAGGGTTTAGGGCGGTATGGTCCAGTTGTCCCGGTCGCTCAACCCAGACTGCAAATAAATCGTCCGGCACTCTTCGAGGCGACTGGGTTCTTGTTGAAGGAATTTAACTTAAGTTACCATTATAGAGATGTAGAGTAAATGATATGGTTCCTTTATTTTGAATTGGTAACTTAAAATAAGTCCACACTGACTACCATAATAGGGATCTATAGTAGGTCATAGGTTTCCTTTAATATGGTAACTTAACATTCATCATTATATACCAAGATCGGCAAAACCAAAGAAGTTAGAAACACTCCGAAAGCACAACCCAGTTCCTTTTTTGTGCTAACTCAAACTAAGTCCACTAAGAAGAACCAAACCCAGGTGGGCGATTCGCGACGCTCTGGGGGTGGGGGGGAGGGCTTAAGGGCTAAGGGTTTGGGATGGTTTGCCTGTAACCCTATACCATAATTAACCCTAAACCCCAAACTTGGATGCACTGCCTGCAGACAGCTGCAAGTAGGCTTTATTCTGTGCCTTCTCGCGTTCTGCTCTTCGGATATGTCTCAAGGTCTGCGTATTCTACAGGGGTTGAGGTTTTTATGGGTTCGCTCTCTTCTGTCAACAATCTATCTGCTCAATGAAAACGGAGCAGATTCCACTTGCAACATTTTGCGATTCTATGTTCAGTTCGTATCTCTGGGTCTTATGTAAGGGCTCATGAAACGGGTCGCCGGCCTGCTTGGCCACGCCCTTGAAGCCCGCGAACAGCTGCAGGTGCTCCTTCGTCACTGCTACATGGCTTTAGTTGCTAAGCTCCCTAGCCCAGATTAGAGTGAGTTAACTCAGAGACTGCCCTAAACCCTAAACCCCAAACCCTAAACCCTATACTGCAACTACAGCACCCAAATAGGAGGCTCTTGGGTCCCGAATACTAAACACAGAATTAGGTTTTTTTCGTGCTAGACACCTGTCTACTTGGGCGCTTGGAACCCCGAAGCAAGCCATTAGGTTGAGGCAGGACATTACATATTCAGCGACTAAAAAAATATACGTTACCACGAGGGTCCGTATGCACTACCATTCTGGATTTGGGCTCCCCGAAACCATGATCAGAATGGTTTTTGGGCGTCTAGTTCCATAACGTTACTAGACCTTAAACTGGATTCTTGTTAAAGGATTTACTTCAAGTTGCCAGAATAGTGGATCTATAGCAAATAGTATGGTTTCCTTCTTATGGTAACTTGAATTGAACCCGAAACCCCATAAACCCTAAAACCTAAATCCCTAAACCCTACACCCTAAGCCCTAAGCCCAAATCCCTTAGCTAAAACCCTAAACCCCTAAGAGGTAAGCCCTGGACCTCCCCAGCTCTGGGCCCCAAGAAAGACGGGATCCCAAGATCTTCGGGCTTATAGTGGGGCTATGGTTTAGGGTTTACGGTTTAGGGTTTAGGGTTTAGGGGTTTGGTGTTGGGTTTATAAGGTTAGTGCTGAAGGTTTATGGCTCCGGGTGTAGGGCTGCTTATTGTAGGTATATTACAGTATACCCCTAAGAATTGAGGCCCCTACATAGCAGCATCTGATGCCCAACAAGTGGGAGTTAGGATTAGGGGGACCCTCGGGGAAATAGACCCTCTCAATAAGGTCCCTTTAAAGAGAGCCACAAATAGGGTTTTAGAAAGGGTCCTCAACCCTAAACCCTAAACCCTAAGGTCCCTTTTAAGGGGTCGCCCTAAGACTACCTAGGACCTACGGTTGATGATCTAAATCCTGCAGTACCCATAATAAGGAATGGACCAACATTCCCATAGTTTAGGGTTTAGGGCTTAGGGTTTAGGGTTTTAGGGTCCTTAAGGTAATGCAGGATTTATATCAGCAACAGTAGGAACAAGGAGGCCATCCAAAAAGGTGCAGCTCGAGGTTGAGTTCTTGACGCGATCTAAGAGCTGCTGCGGCTCAACTGCAATGAGTCAAACCGAGCTGTGGGCTTATTTCTGTATACCTACTATATACTCCCTATATACATTATATATATATATATGTTATGTATATATATATATGTTATATATATATGTTATATATATATGTTATATATATATATATGTTATATATATATATATATTTATATATATATATGTTATATATCTATATATATGTATATATACATCACACTAGGATATAGAAC